ACGAAGTTTTCTACGAAATTTTCTAAACTTCTTCCAAGTTTATATTTTTTTAAGCTCACTTAATTCTACCAAGATTTCAGAACATCTTTAAGCTTCGCTGAACTTCGGAAAATTGCGGGTTTTCTATTTTCTACCATTATTCATGAACATCTGGGAAGTTTCCCGATACTAACCGAGGTTCAAAGGACGTCCAGGGAGTTTATTGAGCTTTTTTGAAGTAAGTTCTCTGACAAACCGCTTCGAAGCTCCCTAACCTAAAACGAAGGCCCCTTAAGTTCATAGAAGTTTGCTGAACGTTTAAGACATTTTTTGATCTTCTAAGAAATTCCCTTAACTGTTTCAAAAGTGCACATCTATGAAGTTTTGCGCAGGACCACGATTTGCTATGTAATAGGCTAAACTCCTGCAAAGTTCACTGCACTTCTAAGAATAAATAAGCGAGAATATCCTAAAAATTCAGCAACGTTTCTTGAACATCTTCAAAATTTCTTTGAGTTGTAAATTTTTATTTAAAATGTCCATATTTATTTTTTTGCAAAGTCACTTAATCCGACCAAGTTCATTTCAGGCCCCTCCACATTCAAGACTTGCTTTATTTTTTAATATGAGTACATGTAAATAACAACAACTAGATCTCAAGTGATGTGTCGTAATATGCGAAGCTCGTTTGCCCGTTTTTGCTTACTGACCTGGGTTCGACCCCAAGCTCCTTCGCACTTTTATTAAACACAGTTCCTCAAATTGGAACGTTATTTGCTGAACTCCTACAAAGTTTCTGGCACTTTTACGATGTTCGCTGCATTTTTACCTTCCTCATTGATTTTCCGTGAAGTTCCACGAAGCAAACTGAACTTGTGCGGAATTCTCAGAACTCTTCAAAGCTCATTAAGTTTCAACGAACTGCCCTGCAGTTATAAGAAAGTTCTCTAAAATTAATCACGCTGGAAAGGCAACTTAACTCTGCCAAGCTCCTCAAACTTGTGCAAAGTTTCCAGTATTCCAAAGTAAGCTGAATATCTACGAAGTTTCCAGAAAGTTTTCAGAATTTCTACGAGCTCAGGAACCAAACTTCTAAGAAGTTATTGAAAATAAACGAAGTTTTTTTAAGCTAAAAATAAATCCCTGAAATTAAAGAAAAATCGCTGAACTTCAAAAAATGTCACTAAATTTATCCCAAAGTTCACTTAATCTCAAAAACAAAGTTCAATGAAGCTCTACAAAGTTCACTTATGTGCCATAAATTTCACTGAACTTCTTCAAGATTTGCTGAACTTCCACACTTGAGAACTTGTGTTTTGAAGCTCGCTGACCTAGTTACAAAGTTAGCTAAACATCTAAAAAAAATGCTGCACTTTTAGAAAGTTTCTTAAACATCTACGCAACGCAGTTTCCCGACCTTACGCGAGATTCCCTGAAGATCTACGAAGTTCCCGGAACTTTTACGAAGTTCCCCGAACTACTGCGAAGTTCTCTAAAATCAAATGATGTTCCATTAACTTTTTCTGAACTTATGGTAAGGACGCACCCTCCGGGCGCAAATTTGAAAAATTAAACCGAAGACATGTGAAGATATTTCGTCAATTTCCGTGATGATTTTTTCAAAATACTCCTGGCATCCCTGGCTATGAAGCGGGAAAAAGAGAAAATCGGAAACACCGATAAAATGGCTGCACGCTAGTTTGAATGTACCCATTAATGAGTAAAACAAGACCCAATTTGAAGAAAAGTGGCTTAACTAATTGACCACTTTGTCAAGCAGTTTTGGTGTGACTTTCTACCAGCGATTTCACAAAACTGGACCAACTAAGTTCTATTTTTTTTATGAAACGCACAAATGTGCGCACGTGGTTCTAGAAGAAAAAATCTCAAAATAATGTTTTATTTCAAAGTTCAAGTGGTAGTAAACGTCATTTTAACTGCTCGAATGAAGTGGTTAATTAATGCGTAAATTTGTTTACCCATTAATGAGTATCTGTTACCCATTAATAAGTAACAGTTACTCATTAATGGGTAATAGATACTCATTAATGGGTAAAAAAATTTCTCATTCAAAGAATGAAGTCGCTTTTCTTCAACATGGGTCTTTTCAACCATTAATGGGTACTTTCAAGTTAGCGTGTATTTAAATGTTACGAAACTTTTTTGCACGGCGAATGAGAACGAGCCAAATTTGAGTTTAGTTTACTCGTAATCGCAGAAATTGCAGGAACTCAGGGATGCGTAAATTTTCCTCATATTTTTCTGTGGAAAACCTCCAAAATCTGCCGGAAAATGAGGAAAATTGACGAAAATTTAACTCAGTCTAGGAGTAGTACCAATAGACTGAGTGAATTCAATCTTTACTTTTCTCATTTTCGGGATTTTTTTTCCTGGGAAAACCTGGAAAACATGAGACAAATTTACTCATCGTTGAGTTCTTGCACTTTAGGGATTTATGAGTTTACTAAACTCAAATTTGGGTCATTCTCATTCGCCATGTGGACGTTTCGGGGGCGGTACGCGACTATCACCATCCGTTTCCACCAAAATCGGACCAAACTAGCCATCCAACATGGAATCGCTTGGTTGTAAATTATGTTGCTTCACACGAACACGCTCGTCGAACGTAACTCAGAGACTGAGTCAAATTGACTCACTCTCTTTTGTTCCTATTTAAATTTTACTCAGTTTCGTAAAAAGTGAAGTTACTCATAGCACTGAGTAGCTCGACTTTTACCGAAACTGAGTAAAATTTGTATGGGAAAAAAGAGAGTGATTCAACTCGACTCAGTCTCTGAGTTACTTTCAACGAGCGTGTTCGTGTGAAGCAACATAATTTACAACCAAGCGATTCCATGTTGGATGAGTAGTTTGGTCCGATTTCGGTGGAAACGGATGGTGATTTACGAGCAATTTGTTTTATTGGGATATAATTTCTTAACTTGGACAGCATCATTGCACGACGATTGATTCAGAGACGAACCACCTCAGGGCTGAAAGTCTCTATAATAAAGTAAAAGAAGAAGAGGTTTAACCTTGAGTGGTGCTGACTATAGTCGCTTTATTCATAGTCTGGCGGATAGAATGTCGATCTATCAAAAAGCGGAACCTACTCAACATATTTTAGACCAGCAATTGAAAAGGTACTTGAGTCACGAGAAAACGGTTTCCGAAGTTTTGTTCACAATAGCTGATGTGCTCTTTTCTGTTGTTGGTCGTGATTTGCTCGATTGGTTCCGCTATTTGACAGCTCAATTGGTTCCCGAGACTCTATCCGCCAGACTAAGAATATAGCGACTATAGTGCTGACTCGTCACTTTCAATTTTCAAGTTCTTTTTCTTGAAAAACATTAACATTATTGCCTTTCCGTTTGCCGCTCATAAATTAATCGTATAGTCGAGCAGATTTAGGGCATCCTTCTACTAGAGATTTTAAGAAAATAAGGCAATCGATTTCAGACTTTTCTGGTCTATCATGAACCCTCTTATCTCGAAGTTCTAGAATACAAAATCTAAAAACATTGCTCCGTCATAAAGTTCGAGTGGTAGGAAATGTCATTTTGAACTGCCTGAATGATGTGATCCATTGACGCAGAACAAAAAATAAAGCTTGTTCGTAAATTGCTTAAAACCAAGTAGGATCGGCCACATGTGCTTTTTTCGCTTCCCTTGGAATCCGTTTATTTAGAAATTGACCCAACTAGCTTTCTTTGTTGAAGATGATTAAAACCTGTTAGCGCCTGAAATTCACTTGCAGAGGTGCTAGAAGTGGGCCGGGACGGGACTTGGCAATCCAGCGTCTCACTCTTCTTAATGTTTTTGATGAATGCCCTTCGAAAATAATACGTGGTGTTTGACGAAGCTGACCAATGATGCCAGGATTTCAGAATGATTTTTTTTTTTCTATTCTAATCTGTCAAATTGACCAGTCAGCAACTGGCTCGGATTTGACAAAAAATTGGATCGAAATCACTACCCGATTGTCAAGTCCCGTCCCAGGAAGTGGGTGGCACAGGCAGGACATGTCCTGCGCAAAAAAATAAATGCCCCGTTAGGACAGTCAAAGTAATGTCCTACACACTTAATTTTGTTTGCCGAGATTTGCACAGCCGAGCTTCCAACAACATATTTTGCCAAGATCTCAGCAAAGTGACGTTTAGTTGGTGAACCTCTTAAAATGTTTTGCTGAATCTCAGCAAATAAAAAGTCATGTTTGCTGAGATTGCAGTAAAATTTAATGCTGAGCACTCGACTGTAAAATTTCGGCAAAACATTGCCGAGCTGATAAGTGTACCCATGATTTTATAGATAATTTTGACAAAAATAACGAACCATTTGGAAGAACTTATAAGATCGTACTCATGGGTTCAGTTTATCTTCCTCTAGCTCGATGCTAGTCCAGGCTACTTCAAACACATTTCCTATGCAAATTTCCAAAATTTGACTCCCTAACTCGACATCTTCCCTAGCTCGGTGGTCCCTTCAATGTTGAGTTAGGTTTGAGTTGACAATTTGTTCACATCATGAGAACCCTTCTGGAATAACTCCTAAAGCTTTGTACCCAACACGATTTGGAACATTTGCCTAGCTTAGTAGACTCTCAACCAAATTTACATTTGAGCTCGGCTCCGTAGGGTTTTTTAAGAACATTGAGCCTCACAAATAAATGAACTAAAAAACGCAATGCAATTTTGATCTTTTGATCATTGTCCGATGGTTGTGGGTTGTTTAAGGACCTTTGGACAATGTGGCATTTTAAGAGTCATGATGGAAACTTAAGTGTTTCACAGCGGTTATCTGGTGAATGTTTTTTGAGATCAGTTTATGCTGTTTGTAAGTGATATTCAAGATTAAACTTTGTTTTGGCAAGGCCATTTGGTAATTCTAAGTATTCCTTTATATCTTACTGAACAAAGGAGTCGAAAACCTGGCATTTCGAAAGTCTATACAAACATGTTCATTGAATTGCTATCAGCCCAAGTAAGACTATAACCACTATCCACCCCTTCAAATTCCCCCAGTCCACTTCCCGCCGGACGTATGCCACAGTTCGGAGTGCCTCCGCGCAGCCGCCACGCTCCAGCAGAGCATGGACCTGCGGGTCAATCCGTGTGAAGACTTCTATGCCTACACCTGCGGTAAGTGGGCCGACGACCATCCACGGCCGGAGAGCTACACCAGCTACGATTGGTTCAGCGAACGGCAGGCTCGAATCCTCCGGAACATCCGCCAGTACCTGCAGCGAAACGACAGCTTCGATGATCCGAAACCGGTGATGCAGGCCCGGGCCATGTACCGTGGATGTATGAATTTGACGGCCATGGATGCGTTCGGGTATGACCCACTGTTCAAGCTACTCGAATCGTACTTCCTACCCAGCTATCCAACCATGCTGAACCTGACGGAGGTGGACTACGAAAGCTACGACTTTGATTGGATTCGATCGCTGGCGAAGGTCAAACAACTGCTCGGCATGGACATCATGATTGGGTTTGACGTGTTTCCAGATCCGAAGGATCGGAACTACAACCGGTTGGTACTGGGAACTCCCGAAGCCGGCTCGGACCTTCCCTTGTAAGTTGTCTTGTCTAACAAATGTTAATCGATTAACGGATACAATCCTTGCTTCCAGCAACGACAACATCCTGAAGCACATGGCCAAAGCAAAGCACAAGGTCATAGTCAGTGAAGATGAGGAAGACTACGTAGACGACTCACCGGAGGATACCAAGTACATGAAGGCCTATAAAAACTTCATGATCGGAGCCATCAAAATTCTTGTCAACAACACGGATCCGAAGATCGAAAGCGAACCTTTTGCGGACAACTTCCAGAAGGCAGCCGACGTTTACATCCAGATGTCCAGGGCTCTCCTGAAAATGGAGAAACAAGCGGAGAATGCTTCCAAATCAAACAACACGGAGGATCGTCTCAACCTGCAGGATACTCTGTTCGTCACCGTCCACGAACTGCAGAACGCGACCGATCAGCATCTCTTGCCGAAGGACCCCTTTCCCGTTTGGGAACGGTTCCTGAATGAAGTCTTCGACGGCATACCGGAAGCGCAGCTTGATTTGAACCAGGATCAGATCCTAACTAGCAACGCAGATATCCTGTACCTTCGCTTGTTGGCAGACTACCTCTCGCAGACTCCTCTCGTGCACATTGAACTGTTCATCTGGTGGACGGTGGTGGAAGACTTGATCCTACATACGACCGCCGAAATACGTAAACTGCACTACGAATGCTACAAGACGATGATCGTGACGGAGGGGTTCACTCCTCGATCGCTGTACTGCACCGGAGCGGTCAACAAGCTGATGGGTATGGCGGTCAGCTACGCCATTACGAATCGAGATTTTCTGCAGGAGACGAAACCGAAGGTGGATCAAATGCTGCGATACATCCGCAGGGCGTTCGATAGTCTGGTTAGGGATACGACCTGGATGGACTGGAAGACCAAAAGTTCAACGCTGGAGAAGTCGAAAGCGATGCGTAGTCTGATCGGATTCCCCGAGTGGATATTGGACGAGCACAAACTGGAAGAGCTCTACGATACGGTAAGGATGTGGTTGGGCTTGGAAAACGAGGAGTTGACGATGATTCATTTTTTTTTTTAATTTTCAGATCGATTTGAGCGATACGCAGCACCTGGAAAACATGGTTCAGTTGATCGAGATGCAAAACGTCAAATATCTGCGCCGATGGCGGATGAAGAACGTCCTGAGCTGGGACACCTACCCGACCAACGTCAACGCTTTCCACGCCTTTCAGGATAATGCGATCAGTAAGTATAGACCGTCAGGGCGGATGTTCTTGTAACCGTAGCTTACCGTTCCATCCATGGAATGCAGCGATTCCGATTGCCATCCTGCAGTATCCGTTCTACCACCTGGGTCTAGAGTAAGCGTTTGTTGGTTTGGGTAATTGTTTTTTGATCGTACGCACAGTTTTTGCACGAATTTGTTGCACACGAATCGAAACCATGCACAGCCAGATTGAAGCGCGAACACTTGCAACAACCGCTTCTGGTCGGAAGACGTGGGATGCCGATGGGAAACTCATCGATTCGACTTCACTTTCAGGGCGCTGAACTACGGAGCAATTGGGACGGTACTGGGTCACGAGCTGACGCATGGATTCGATGATAGCGGTAAGTGGGTGAAATGCATTTCGAAGTTGGTTTGACTAATGGTTTAACGGAACAGGTCGTCAGTTCGACAAGGAAGGCAACCTGAAACAGTGGTGGACAAACGGGACGATTCGGGAGTACGTGAACCGGACGGTGTGCTTCGTTCAGCAGTACAACGGTTACTACATTCCGGAAGCCGACGACTACGTAGATTGAGCTGAAGTCGCTGTTTATCGACAAGACTGAATTTGGCATTTGCTTGCAGATTGACGGACTGCAAACTCTCGGAGAGAACATCGCGGACAACGGTGGCGTTCGGGAAGCATTCGAGGCGTACAAGATCTACAAGAAGCACAACGGGAAAGAGCCGCTCCTGCCAGGATTCGAAAACTACACCCACGAACAGCTGTTCTTCATCTCCTATGGGAACGTAAGTTGGCATTTTTTGTCGAACGCTTCCTTGTTTAGTAAACAGTAAACATTCCCGTAGCTATGGTGCGAATCACACACGGCATCCGCCGCCAAGGCCGCCTTGGATGACACCCACTGTCCCGGTTGGATCCGCCTCAAAGGGGTGCTGAGCAATTCTCCTGAATTCAGTCAAACGTTTGGCTGCCAGCGGGGCAGCGGGATGAATCCCACCGCCGACAAGTGTCGAATTTGGTGAAACCACGGATTTATTAAGAATGCAGAAAGCAAAACAAGCAATCAAACTGTGTGATTTTAGATGTAGGTACTAGTGCAATTTTCCGACCAATTTTTGATCTCGCAACGGGTGTGATATGAGAATGCAATAATAAATCTGCTGTTCCGAGTTTAGGTGGCGTATTGTTTGAAGGGAATTCGTCGGCAATCTTCTTTTATGGCGCTTTTGTTCTATAATACCATCAACCGCAAAAATTCAATCCAATAAAGATTTGCAAACGGGTTTTAGGCTCTACATCAGAATCGCTCACAAAGCGAAGATTTTTTCTCGTGATTCCCCGTTCTGAAGTGCTTTTAATGAAGAACAACCCTAATAAAAATAACCATAACAGAGAGCTTAACGACGTGTTCGGGGTATCATCCAAACCAGTTTACCCATCCAGGATACAATTCGTTTATGGTATTTGTTTATTAGGGAATCCCCAGTTTAGTTTTCGTGAAGTGGATTTTAGTCTAAAAATGTTAGTTTCTGCTAAATTGGAACGCCTTTGGATACGGTTGTTTGTTCTCTGTTTTGTGGTGCGTTCACGTTCATAGTTTTCGGCTGCATTACGCGCTGCAAGGTGCGTGAAAGAGTTCGGCACAATCGGTGTTGATGTTGGCTCGCTGCTTGAAACTTTTTTTTGTATGTTCGAAAGAAATTGATCGAAAGTGTACCAAAAGTGCTTCTGAACGTGTTTCGCAGTTGGGAGTGGTGAAGTTCGTAAATTCGCGGTTTATGTTCAGTGAAAATTCCGTATCACAAAATTGCTCAACGAGTTCCCTTTTTTTTGCCGTTTGATTTGGTGAGTTCGTTCCAGTTGAAGATTGTTCTTATACATATCTCGATTGCATTTTCGAGGGGACGTCCGGAGAGCTTTGAGATTTAGGCGTTGTTGCTTTTGCGGGCAGACGAGTTGGTCGCCGGTAAGGTCCAGTAAGTGCTGCCAGCAGATGAATCAAGAGGTATTCGAAACAAAATTGGTAAGAAATGTCCATTAAAATCGTTTTATTACAGTTAAACAAATTTCAAAACTATATACGTGCCAGATTTGGAAATAATATTTTTTGAATCTGGAAGTGTGTTTATGATACCATTATCCATTTGATAAAGGTAGAGTGAACATGCGGGGCTTATTGTAAGTAAAAGTGACCTCGGAGTGGTCGTGAATTACCAGGCATTCTGAAATGGGTCACTGGAGCTGCAATAGAGCTAACACCTTCTAACTCCCGGACTAAACCTGCTTTAATTGAAGGGTAATAAAAAGCAGTTTTCTTCCATAATAACACTGCCGGACAGTGGGGGTTAGATTGTACACACACACACACACACACACACACACACACACACACACACACACACACACATCAGAATCGCTCACAAAGCAACCGGCGCATTCTTGGAATAATTGTTTTGCATCTGATTTAAGGTTATGTCACGACCGTCGCAAGCTTGGTACGAGTGATTCAACACAATCCACGCTCACCGATTGCCGTCATTTCATTCGAACGCTGTCCAGACTGGAGAGTTATAACATGTTATAACGGTTGTCAAATAATTGCAACACAGAAACGACCATCAAGATAGCGCTATAACATGTTATAACTCTGTAGTCTGAACGTACTATAAGTGGTGGACCTGAATGCGTGTTTTATGGCGTTTACATTTCGCATGTAAACAAGGGATCGATCGAGAACCAACATTAAAGCAAACCCCACACACATCAATATATTGACGCGAAGGGGAATTATTGACAATAATATTGATGATGTGAATTCAGAAATATTGTCAATCTCGATACATTGACGTCAATATAGAATGTATTGACAATACGATTATTGTCAATACAAGCAATCGTGTAGGGTCCACATAATACCTCTGTTTGCAAACATTACGCTTTTAAAATCATTAGCTCAAGGGAGTTGGTCATTTTCCCACGTAATTTCAGGCGGAAATTGAGAGCCCTCAGATAGTCGAGATTCCAGAGGAAAAGCGCGATGTCACCGCACAAAGCGGTAGACAGATTTGTCAAATTACCCATCCAAAACCGGTTTAATTGCTGTAAGCTGTCGTAGTGTGGCCGCTTTATCAGCTCAGAATCCATAACCGTTGCGAACTACTGCTTAGAACGACACAACGCAACGCTCGGAACCATGTAAACACATGGTTATATACGTAATGGAATTGACACATTCTAATATTTACAAAGGGAAGCGCATTGCGATTTAAATACCCACTAGGCTTACTTATTATCAGCCGGCGATGTCGGAGAAGGGTGATCCGAGTCAATCAGTCAACCGTGGTAGCGCGATCGATGCGGCTGGAACTTGCGTGAGAATCCGTTTCCGATTGATCTGCGACCATAGATTAAGATAAACGATCCAAGAGGGCGGGAAAGTGCGAAGAGTGTTCTTATCAGCGCGCGGATTGCTTTGGTTCGGTCGGTGTGTTTTGGAGAAGAAGAAGAAGAAGAAGAAGAAGAAGAAGAAGACAATCCCGAAGTAAGCGTTGTCTTTGGTATGGTAATCAGATATCATAGGACCAGAAAAAAAAATAACTTGTGTGAAGTGATGTGATGTCATATTTGTTATTCATGAATCAACGGAATGTGCAATGTTCTTCTAATCGTGTGTCTGAAAAATACGACTTCACATAAATTTTGACCGATTTATGTTGTTTAGCGATGTTCGAATCAATCATTATTTTTTTTTTATCATGGTCACTATTCATGACTTTTCCGGGGATGCGATTTGAACTCGTGACTTTGGCTTATTGTCTACTCCTTGATTTTTTGACGTTGGATAACGTCTTTCGGCAACATACGGGGGTACAAAATTGAAAACAGTCATTTTGGATGCGTTACGAAAAATTAAAAGATTTTGAACGATAATAACACAACCGTCTCTCGATAGATTTATGAGATAATGGCATCAATAGATTGGAAATATTTCTAGCAATTTGCTGAATGTTTTAAAACTATTGATTTCATTCTGTAAACTATTGAAAAATGGTTAAAAGTAAACCATTGTCTAAAGATGGTGAAAATCGATTGATTTTTTATATTCTTATACTTTCTCCAACCGAGACATCAGATGCGAGTATCTGACACCTCTGATATTTTCTGTTCTACTATATAAGCGTCCAACAAGGTCACCCGTTCCATCATTGTCAACAACATTTGCCCAACAAAACGACCCTTTTCAGGGCCACCAAACTTTCGCAAAAGAGTTATTAAGGAATATTCCTAAAATATAATACACTCAGGTCTTTTTTTACACGGGGGATACGGTCCGTGTAAAAAAAAACCTACGAGATTTTGATTTTTCGCATGCTTAAATGTTTTTAAAAAATCGGATGTTGATGCCATTTGTAATTAAAGCATGATATGGTCCATATAGACATATTTTAAAAATTTCTGTATTTAAACCAAAAATTGTGATTTTTTTTATATATGCCATTCGATTACAAATAGCTTGAAACGGATAATGTGATTGGAATCAAGTCGATAGGTTGTATCGTTGTCGAGAAATCGTTAAAAACGTACCGTGTAAATCGTGGAAAACCGTGTAAAAAAACCGTGTAAAAAAAAACCGCGTAAAAAAAACCGTGTAAAAAAAGACTTCAGTGTATACACAATTAAGTACAACACATAACAGACGTTATCCAACGCCAACCCTGCGGTAGTATCTAGTATACAACCAATCTAACTTTTTTTCCGTCGATCTTGTTTTCCGTGCTGAGCACCAATGCTACCGACGCCAGGGAGGCAGCTCCCACACCTGAACCCTACCCCTATCGAATGAGAACGACCCAAATTTGAGTTTAGTTCACTCATAATCGCCAAAAGTGCAGGAACTCAGCGATGAGTAAAATTTGTCTCATGGTTTACTGTGGAAAACCTAAAAAATCTGCCGGAAAATGAGGAAATTGACGAAAATTTTATTCAGTCTCGGAGTAGTACCAATAGACTGAGTGAATCCAATCTTTACTTTTCTCAAATTCGGGATTTTTTCCCTGGAAAATCCTGGAAAAAGCTGCACTTTTGGCGATTATGAGTGAACTAAACTCAAATTTGTAGTTCCTAGTCCAAGTTGTACCCAAGAAATTGTTCACAGGGCTACTTGAAAAAAAAAACACTGATCTCAGACAATTGACTTGGCGCTCTAGTTATAACCTTCGAATAGTTCATCCCAAAACTCCCTAGAACTTTTTGCCCAAAGTACCTTGGTATTACATATCTCTAGAATCTATTCTAAAATATGTTCAAAACTACTTTGGAAAAAAAGTTCTTTTAAAACTTCTTCAAAGTAACTGTATCCTGAAAATCTAGTCCATTCCAAGGGTCTTGAGATTTTTTAAATAGAGGAAGAAGCACATTTTTACCCTTCTTACAAAGAAGGGTATAGATATCACTTGAAAAACCGACTATCGATCCGAGGCCCGGAGGGCCGAGTGTCATATACCATTCGACTCAGCTCGACGAGATCGGAACATGTCTGTGTGTGTGTGTGTATGTGTGTATGTGTGTGTATATGTAACGAAATGAATGCGCTCACGTTTCTCAGCAACCGCTCAACCGATTTGGACAAACTCGGCGCCAAATGATAGGTCTTGGAGTCCCATTGAACGCTATTGAACGGTTTTGGAATCGGTGAACCGGTTCCGGAGATTTGGCCGGAATAAGATCCGGTGAATATGGGCCTTCACGCTGGATTTAACGGAAAACGTATCAAAACCATCATGCAACACATCAAATTACTACAGAATTCAAAAATAAGATCAATGCAAGTCGTGTTAAGTGTTCCAGACCACATTGGACACACTTGGACATGTTCCGGGTACCCCGGGGAAGCTGCTTGAATATGAATTGAATTAAAACCCATTAAATCACATTAAAATACGATGATAAGGTGATTGGTAGCCTCACCAAATAGACTACACCCGGATATATTCCGGGTACCCCCAGGCAGTGGCGTAGCGTCACTGGATGACACGGGGGTTGGGGGCTTGGTCACTGATAATGACAATAAAATAAATAAACTTGAATAAGCAAGAAGGGTCTGATCACACCATAGGTTGATAAATTCGGGTTTTTAATTGGTATTTGACAGTATTTCTCACTGTTTATTAAACTGGAAGCCACCACCTAGGCATTAAAAATGGCGTTGCATATCAATTTTCGATCTCTAGACGTCATCCCGATTCAAAAAATACCCATATTGACGGGTAAACAAACCACCCGACAATGATAAATTTGACATCCACGTGCACAGATATATATATATATACATATATATATATACGCATACGCATACGAGTGAACAATCAACAAAAGTCATGGTTTACAGCTTCATCGTCACTTGAAGATTTTCGATTGAAAGTGACTTTGATCGCAGGTGCTATGATTTGTTTGTAGACAGTCAGTGTGTTCACCCTTGAGAGGCATGTAAAGCAAGGGGCCCAGCAGACTGCCTTGCGGGACTCCTGCTGGGATGGAAAACGTGTCTGAAAGACAACCATTCAACGATACCTTGAACGACCTTTGCTGGAGGTAGTTACGGGTGATTTTAACCAGATGTAATGAGAAGTTGAAGTTACAAAGCTTGTACACAAGTCCGTTATGCCAAACATTGTCAAACGCCTTTTCGACGTCTAAAGGGTGATACGGTCAAAATTTGGTCAAGATCAACTTGACGTATTTCTTTCAATTTTGCATTTAAAAAACCTGAACACCCCTCATTTTGAAGGTGTGTGTGTGTAGAATGTTGCTCCTATTTTGATTTTGGAATTCACTCTTCAGTTGTCAAAATGCCGTCCAAGCAAGAAGAGCAGCGTATCAAAATTTTGCTCGTGCATCGCGAAAATCCGAGCTACTCGCACGCAAAGCTGGCAAAATCGCTAAAAGTTGCCAAATCAACCGTTACAAATGTAATTAAAGTGTTTGGGGAACGTTTGTCGACAGCCAGGAAGTCTGGATCGGGGGGAAATCGAAAACCGGAAGCCGCTGAGACGACAAAGAGAGTTGCCGGTAGTTTCAAGCGAAACCCTAACCTCTCTCTCCGAGATGCCGCAAATAAGCTGGGTGTATCGTCTACAACCGTGCATCGAGCCAAAAAACGAGCTGGACTATCGACTTACAAGAAGGTAGTGACTCAAATCGCGATGATAAACAAAATACGACGGCCAAAGCGCGATCCCGGAGGCTGTACACGACGATGCTGACGAAGTTTGACTGCGTGGTAATGGACGACGAAACCTACGTCAAAGCCGACTACAAGCAGCTTCCGGGACAGGAGTTTTATACGGCAAAAGGAAGGGGAAAGGTAGCAGATGTTTTCAAGCACATGAAACTGTCAAAGTTCGCAAAGAAATATCTGGTTTGGCAAGCCATCTGTACCTGTGGCTTGAAAAGCAGCATTTTCATAGCTTCCGGGACTGTCAACCAAGAAATTTACGTGAAAGAGTGTTTGAATAAACGTCTGCTGCCTTTCCTGAAGAAACACGGTTGTTCCGTACTGTTTTGGCCGGATTTGGCATCTTGCTATTACGGTAAAAAGGCCATGGAGTGGTACGCCGCCAACAACGTGCAGGTGGTTCCCAAGGACAAGAACCCTCCCAACACGCCAGAGCTCCGCCCAATTGAGAAATACTGGGCTATTGTCAAGCGGAACCAAAACAAGACCAAAAAAACTGCTAAGGGCGAGCAGCAGTTCAAGGCAAACTGGCTTTCTGCGGCGAAGAAGGTGGACAAGGTGGCTGTACAAAATCTGATGACAGGGGTCAAGCGTAAGGCCCGGCAATTCGGATTTGGAAAAGCGGAAGCCTAACTGAATATTTTTCCTGAATTTTATACAAATTGAGCTTGAAAAAGAAATTTAGTTTGATTTTTTAAATAAACGATTTCGCCGATTTACACGCGTTTTCCCTTGACCAAATTTTGACCGTATCACCCTTTAGCAAGGCCATGGCTGCAGACTTGGATACAGCTTTGTTACTTCGGATGTTATTCATCACCCGTACTAGCTGATTGGTGGAGTGTCCCTTTCTGAATCCAAACTGTTCCGGAAAGAGAATGTTATTTTCCTCGACAAATTTGAGCAAACGATTGAAAATGAGTTTCTCGAACAATTTGCTCAGCGCTGAAAGGAGGCTGATTGGTCTGTAGCTTGAAGGCAATGTTGGATCCTTACCGGGCTTGTGGATTCGTATGATTTGTGATACTTTCCAGATGCAGTTCCAAGCATCTGTTGAAGATAGCGGTTAGAAGCGACTGCACTTTCATGCTGAGTCTCTTCAAGATCGTGTTGAATATACCGTCAAACCCGGGAGCCTTTATGTTTTTGGTGCATTTCAGCGCTGGGCAAATCTGTTGTACTGTAATCGTATCCACCGGAGGCACGGCACAAGGGGAGGCATCTAGGTTTTGAACGCATTGCGCAACCTGATCATCGAGCGGACTTTGGATAGTCGAACCAAGCAAATGCGATGAAGCGACATGCTCGCCGATTGCATTTGCTTTCTCCTATGGGGTGATTAAAAGCCGATCGTCATCATTTTCGACTCTGAAAGGTGGAACGGGTTTGGGATGAGTTTTCAAGACCTTGGCTACCTTCCAGAATGGTCTGGAGCGGTCGTCCAGATTCTGGACAACACGCCCGAAACTTTCATTTCGGAGTGAGTCCATTCTGGAATCAATCTGCCTGTTCAGATCGGCCATTTCACGTCACCAGGTCCTCTGAAACCGGTGTCTATGCACATTTCTCAATCGAATCAATAATTGGGTGTGGGAATCAATAGCAACAAACTTACCCCTCACAGGAACTTGTCGAACGCATGTCTCGTCAACCACGGATATGGCCTGTTGGAGTCCTTCCAACGCCCGGTCGATGTCATCTACGGTGTCGAGCAGTGGATTTTCATCGCTGTTGCTGTCCACCATTCGTCCGTACTGCACCCAGTTGACAGCTTCTAGCAGGAACCACGTTGACACTGACCGGTTGGTGGTGGGAGCTGAGATCGGTGTGTGCCTCCAGCTTGAATAGTCCGATGTTCGACAGGAAAAATCCAGGGTGGAGGGATTTCCCGCCGGAGAGATAAAAGTTGGGTCACCCGGAAATTGCACAGTGTACAGTCCATGTTGTGCGTAGTCGAACAATAGACATCCGTTCCGGTTCCGCTGGTAGTTACGCCAAGCTTCATGGTGGGCATTCAGGTCGCCCCCAACGATGAATCGGGAGCTAGTACGGGTGATGGCGGTCAGGTCGTTCTTGAATTGGATTCCTAGTCCGTTGCTTGCAGTACACTGGCGTGGGTAGTAAACAGCGATAAACCGGACATTTCCAGTTGGTGATTCCACCTCCACACTAACGGCCTCGATGATAGAAGTGCGGATGTGGCAGAGTGCACAACTTGATTCCCTTTTTAACGATGACCGCTACACCCCCCCCCCCCCTGAAGCTAGTGCGAGCTGTTGTGGTCAGGCAACCAGAAGCCGTCACCGGACTTTAGATGGGTCTCGGTTAGAAGACCCACGTCGATGCTGTGCTTGCGGAGGAAGTCGGCAAGCTCAATCTGCGTAGCTCTTACAGAGCAAGCGTTCCAGATAGCTATGGTTAGTGATTTAAACACCATACTGGATGATGAACTTACCGAGCACTTGAATCTGTTCGGGCTTATTGCGGCACTTACGTAGAGCACCGGTCATGTTGATGAAAATCTCCATCAGTTCATCCGAGAACAGATCGGGATTATTTATTTGAGCTGTTCGTTGTCTCCAGAATCCAGGGGGGATGGAGAGCTTTGTCCAGCAGAAGATCCAGACGTTTCTTGGGGAGGCCGGATCGCACCCGTGAATTCGCTTGTCCATGAAGAGGCGGAAAGTACTCCGCCCTGAAAGCTGGGGCCTTATCCTTCCTTCGTCCTGGTTGATTGTTGGTGACGCCTTGAAATCCTCGCGTTTAGGGCACTGCTTGTCGGATTCTTGGTGAGCACCACCACAGTTGGCGCATTTGGACGCCACAGCTTCATCCGCAGCACATTCGGAGGTGGCGTGGTTTTGAGTGCAATTGCCACAGCGTGGCTTAATGTCTCACTGAGTCACATCGCGATGGCCACCACGATATGGCTCCCAGCGGACGATGATGGAATTGATGGAGCGGATGGCTTTCAGCGCGTTAAGCGTCACCGTTCCTTTCTGGAAGTGTACCAGGAAAAGGCAATCCGGATACGCCTTCACATTTTCGTCCTTCCTTGTCATCCGATAGACTGCGCTTGGGGCCAGCTTGTGGTCCCTGATTTCAGCTTCGATAAACTTCAGGTCGAAGTTCGGTACGCCCCTGATGACGACCTTGAATGGTTTCCTACCGGGAATTTCGTGGGTGAAGAATTCCACCTTCGAAGTCCTGAGGTAGACGACGACCAAGTCATACTCCGCTTTCGTACCTTGGTGCCGACTCTGCCCAACTTGAATTCGATCTTAACGCCCAGCGATGCCAGATCCGCGATGAGCCCGTTAAAATGGGCATTTTTCACTACCAATGGACCTAGCTTCATTTTTACCGTGCTGATGTCGGCAGCATTGTCATTTTCGGCAGCGTCACCGAAATCTCCGATATCGCTGACGTTCGTCGCAGTGACACCGTCACGACCAATCGTGCCATCGGACTGGCCCATTTCGGCGCACACACACAAACAAACACCGCGAGCTTTCCAAACAACTCGAGAGCACGAGCTAAAACCGAACTGAACTGCTTAACTGTCAAGCAGAGAATGATGACATGTTCGCTGAATTTCCATAGATCTGCTAGGGTTTGTTCGAGGCTACTATGCTCATATAATGTTCTAGAAGAACTCAACGATATTCTAAACTATCTCTATATATCCAACCCCATGTACGAAAAATCTAGACATAAAACAAAATAAGGAAATCCAATTGCAGTCAGCAACAAGTATTAACAGCTTAAACTTACAACTCAGTGCAAATATAACCTAAGATATTCACGAAGCGGTCTCACAATGGAAACGCACGTGGAAGATAAATTTATGGGTAGGTTCATTCAATCGTTGAAAAATTTGAGTCAGCTAATCGACATCTTATCCGTTCGTAGCTCTGAACGTTGAAACACTCCAAAAGCGTCAATCGATGCGCCCGGCCCACCTGACCGTCACGAAGCAAAGCTCTTGCCACGTCTTTTGTCACCGGTTCTTCATTTGCGTTCTCCTCATCGCTGTAGTCCTGCTATCGTCGATCATCTACGCCATCTACAGCTATGCATCCACCGTACCGGATGTCTGTCACAGCAAGGAATGTCTCCGCTCGGCGGCAGCCTTCAAGCAGAACATGGACCTCACAGTAGATCCGTGCGACGATTTCTACTCGTACGTCTGCGGAAACTGGGGCGATGATCATCCACGTCCGGAAGGGCACGGAGCCTACAGCTGGTACCATGAACGCCAAACCAAAATCTACCGGGTCATTCGAGCCCAGCTGGAGACCAACAGCAGCCGATCGGATCCGAAACCGGTCGCCCAGGCCAAGTCCATGTACAAGGCGTGCCTAAGCAAAGCAAACCGCGAGCGCTATGGGTACACAGCTGTCCAAAAATATCTGAAGGAATTTGGACTACCTACGACTCCAACGTTGCTGAACCGCACGAAGATCTCCTATCGAAGGTACAAATTTGATTGGATCAGTTCGGTTGCAAAGATCCAGAGGAAACTGGGGCTGAACATAATCGTAGGGTTCAGCATAGAGCAAGATCATCGCGACAAAAACAGAAACCTAATGACCCTGGGGTACCACTACAGACCGGACGAGTTGAGATTTCCGTAAGATTTGAGCTACTTGCAATTGTTCGGTAACTTATTCCTTTTGCTCTGACGCAAACAGAAACTACGAATGGTCCAAGCTGAAACCGAAAGCACTTACTCGAAGACTTGCTGTTCGTTCAACGGAAGAGTATACCGACGAGTCAGACGAAGAAAGCGAGGAAGACGACGAAGAAATTGATTCGAAATCATTTGCGAGAATTATCGAGTTGATCAACCCTGGCATCGATACCAGCGAGATAGAAGACAAAATCTCCGTTCTAGCAGAACGATTCGCAGCATTCGATGATTCTCTTCCCAAGGTATGTTAAATATAGACCACCAAGTCAAACAATTTCATCCCATTCTATTTCAGCCACTGGATTCGGAAGATGACGAAGAACCGCAGTACTACACTGTCAAAGAACTGCAAAATTTAACTGACGCACACATCAAACCGAAAAAATCATACCCTGTTTGGCAGCGTTATCTGGATATCCTGTTTGCCAATCTTCCGGATACCAAACCTTCCGCCGAAGAACAGCTTCAGCTCTACCCTGAGAACGTAGAATTCCTCGGGAAACTGATCGACGTAATCTCCGAGCAACCGCCGGCCTTGATTGAGCTGTACATTTGGGGTACCGTTGCTTCGTTTCTAGTGGAACACGAGTTCAACAAGGCCGTACTGGAAGAAGAATGCGCACAGATCGTACACAAGCTGATGGGACTGGCCGTTAGCTATGCGATTGCAGATCAGGACTTCCTCGAGAAGACAAAGCCCCGCATCGAACAGATGTTGAACGACATACGAATGGAGTTCGACAGTATGATACTGGAAACGGACTGGATGGATGCCTACACCAAGTATGCATCGTTGGAGAAGTCCAAGGCCATGAAGTCGTTGATTGGTTTCCCGGAGTGGATCCTCGATGTCAAGAAACTGGAGGAGCACTATCGAGGAGTAAATATTCTGGTTTGCTAACGGGAAAAGTTTGCTAATCCAAGCGTTTTGTTCGTACAGTTGCAGATCAGCCCAACTCACCATCTGGAGAACTGGGTCAATGCTCTGCAGTTTCTGAATACGGAATGGCTGCGCTCGTGGCGGGTGAAAAACAATGAAGTTTGGGACATGGACCCAACGGAAGTCAATGCATTCAACACCTTTGAACGGAATGCGATCAGTGAGCTTACAGATGCAGCAGTTTGTAGTCTGAGTTGTAAAGCTTATCAATTTCTATTCCCAATAGATATTCCAGTGGCCATCATCCAGTATCCATTCTATTACCTTGGATTGGAGTAAGTCTGCTGCGTACGATAACTCGTTTACAACTCTATACCTAACTGGTCTGTTTACAGTGCCCTCAACTACGGAGCGCTCGGAGAAACCCTTGGACACGAGCTTACCCATGGATTCGATAACTCCGGTCGCAACTACGATCAGTACGGCAACGAGAAATGCTGGTGGTCAAACCATACGCTTCAGGAGTACGATGATCGGGCCCAGTGCCTGGTGGATCAGTACAGTTCGTACTACGTTCCGGAAGCGAAGGCGAATGTAGGACGAGACACTGTTAACTAACCTTAAACGTTACTCAATGAGTTATCATTCTAGATCAACGGAACGCTAACCCTCGGAGAGAACATCGCCGACAATGGAGGACTTCGGGAGGCATTGCGTGCCTATCGAGCATACGTAAAGCGAAACGGTCCGGAAGCAGATCTACCAGGATTCGAAGATTTCACCCACGAACAGCTGCTGTTCATCTCGTTTGGGAACGTAAGTTGACGTTTTTGTAAGGTTACAATCTTCGCTTCAAAACGACATTTTTTTCCCAGCAATACTGCGAAACGGTGAGTCCATCGGTTGCCGTGCATCTACTAAAAGACGAACACAGTCCGTCCAAGTTTCGAGTGCAGGGAGTGTTGAGCAACATGCCGGAATTCAGCGAAGCATTTCAGTGTCCATCCGGCAGTAGAATGAACCCGAAGGACAAGTGTCGTGTGTGGTGAGGAAATTTATGAATTTTAAGATTGTAATAAATGCCATTTTTAATGAGATTTGTTTTTTCGGTTTTGATTTCAACATTCTTGAGTGCTTGACTCCTTATCATTTGATGTATACTAAAGAGGCTGAATTGCGTAAAGAATCGGCATCTCATCCATTTGACAGGTTGTCTGCTTGATTGGAATGACTTTTTTCCCTATAGAAGATTCGATGAGTGGGTCTGTAGGAAAAGCAAAAGAGTGGGAAACCTTCGTAGCTCTCGCTCCCATCGCAAAAAGTTCTAAGTGAGTCTTTCGGTTAAATTGAGGAATAATTCATGGGGAATGGAGGAATAGAACAGATACGCTGAATGGGTCTGGGAGGGAAAAGAGCGGAAAAGCGCTCTAGTTTCCATCCCAAACAGCTACCTAAGAACCGTTCGGTTCACCGGTTTGCCTCTGGAGCTTAACGAGCTAAGCTAACAGATCATCGGGTCTTGTTTTGTATGGAGCTTCGCCTTCTCAGATAAGGGTGAATCATGCTATCGATCAGTAGGTACATTTTTAATCACACGCGCATTTTGGTTTACGCGGTTCTTTTCAAAAGAGGAGCTGTGAATGTTATGGATTTAAATTCTTATGCTAAGTCTATTTATACTACTTTAAATTTAGTTTAAAACTTATTTTACTCTACTGGTTTGTCTAAGTTTGTCAATATCTTATTAATTTCAATATGAGCTTAGTGAGCTAAACGGATGAGATCCGCTCAGTAAAATGAGTCAATATTGATCGCCTCTACATCAAACTAAAATCGCTTACCTTCATACCTATTGCAAGGTTCTCCTTTACAAAGCGCTCTGCCACAACCCAATCGCCGATGCCACTGGTGATGGCAGTTCTTCCTAGGTTCATTCCAGCGGCTTCGATTACCGGCAATTTTTGTTGAATGCAGGAGCAAACTTCCGGAGGACGAGATGATATTCCAACGCCCGTCCTCACAAGGTGAAGGGACAAAGATAAATACAGTCGCAAATAGGTAAGCGGAGACGTCCACTGACCTGCAAGAAATGCTTCTATACAAATCCATTTTCAGTTACCCGTTTGAGTGGCCGTCATTACTCACTGAATACCATAGCTATCACCTTAGCCTTGCTGGCAAATAAACAGCAACGCTATGAATTCTTCAATGCAAGCAGTGTTGTGAAAATATCAAAAAATCAAATCTCACCAACGCCCAAGATCACGCTTGTTTTTCGTAGACAAAAATCAACAAGCAAACAACTGCGGTTGATTTTGCAAGCTGTGATATCGCAGCTCTGAATATAAAGCTAACAAAGCTCACCAACTGCAAATCTCACCAAACTGTGGTGAGATTGAGTTTTATGATTTTTGCTTTACACCCGAATGCCCGAATGCAACCGAAACTTCCATAACGGCTTGCAGCAGTCCCTTCGCGTCTGCCATCGGTGAAGATTAAAAAGAGATAGCAAACTATGCTTTCTCTTTCTAAAACAACGATGTGCAATGGAATCATTTTTGTGTCGAGTCAACTCTCAGCTTGAATTTTGCACGTTGTGAATAGTCTCGCAATATCAAAGGAGCTTGTAAAATCAATATCAAACATGATATTTTGTTCCAATATCACGCGTGATATTGCGAGCGCATGAGAGCGGAAAAATATCAATTGATTTCTGATTTTTCCAACTAATCTGTACATTGGTATGTGCTTTCTTATCTCACTTCGACAATAAATATCATAGCTAACTTTCATTTCATCCCGGTAGAACATACACCAGCAGGCAGGTAATTATGGGTGATCCTTTACCATTCACATCGAAGATGATCCGCTGCCGGAATCGCTTCATCGATTACGATTATGCAGTGCAATATACAAAATTACGGAAGTCGGGTGATGGTAACCACGGAAAACAAGGAGATTCCGGCGGAATTGTCACGTAAAATGCTTCAACCTTCCACGTCGAGGTAACGAGAAACGAAAATTCCGCTGGCGGTACACTAGAAAAGTAAGCTCCGATTTGGAATGAACGATTTGAGCTGGTCGGTGGATTTGTCCTCGGAATCTGCGAGATTATCCGTGAATATAACCTCCGGGCGACAGAGGGCGACTTCAAACTAAACTCCAAGATTATTCAGTTGGAACGTTGAACGAGGAACTGCGCGCAACTTGACTGTATTTTTTCATTTTCAGTTCGATCATTATTGTATAAATGTTATAATACTATTAAACATATTTGTGAACCTTTTTATTCAATATTAGACACTTTAAATTTAATATTTAACTTGACTAGCCTATTGGTCCTAAGCAAATCGATTAACGTACCCTATTTTAGTCAAAATTCTAGTACTACACCATGTTTGTTTTGATTCGCTATGAAAGTTTGACAGATAAAATGAAGAGTTAGTGGATTTTTTTTATGTTTCGAGGGGTGAATCGATTAGCTTGGGACCGAAGAGACTACCAGAGCTGAGCCAAAAAGTTGAGCACGTTTCTTCGGGACCTTCTAGTCTTAGAGTTACCTCTTGTTGAGCGTGCACTGTTTCACTGCTCCACATCAGCGAACCCCTCGGTGGGTAGTCGAGCGCAGCCCTATTGCGCTCGCGCAGCTCTATCGCGCAGCCCTATCGATCGCGCCAAAACAACAACAAGAGTGTTGACTGTACTTTTTGCATTCCAAGCATTTCCATCGCCGCGTACACAACGTGTTTATTTTATTCGTTTAATAAAGTAAATTTTCTACCGAAAGTATTTCCGCGAGTTCATTCTTTTCGTACTTCCTATCCCGGAATCCGATACGCTGGTTTTTCTGCTGCCGTTGTCCCTGATCCGCCTTCAGGTTATGGGCCCAGACGCGGAACGGAATAGAAAGTGCGAAAAGTGTTCCGGCCGAGAGAGCCGAGGTGGTTTGTAGTGCCAGTGATTTTCCGCTCCCTGTGGACTTTGTGCTGTTGGAGCGACGTGAAATAAACCGCGGAAGAGCGAAGAAATTCGGACAATAAGTGAAAAAGAAAAACATAAACAATGAGTGATGCCAAGTTTGTGATCCCGAAATTGAACGGGACAAATTGGCAAACGTGGTCCGTACGGGTGGAGATGCTGCTGTGCCGCGAGGATCTGTGGCACATCATCGATGACGACCCGCCGGATGAGAACGCAGTCGTCGATTACGCCAGATGGAAAACGGTCGACCGGAAAGCGCGAGCCACGCTGGTGCTGCTGTTGGAAGACAGCCAGCTGCCGCTCGTGAAGGGAAAAGTGCACGCCAGGGAGGTATTCAGTGCGCTCCGAAGCTATCACCAGAAAACGTCCAGATCCGTCCGGGTGAGTTTACTCAAGAAGCTTTGTTCGACCAATCTACCGGAGAATGGCGACCTCGATCAACATTTGATGGTGGTGGACGAAACGCTCGATCGCCTCACCGCTGCTGGTACGGACCTGGACAAGGACACGAAGATATGCAGTCTGCCCCCGTCGTATGACAGCATCGTTTCGGCACTCGATTCACGGTCGGATGATGACCTGTCGCTGGACGTGGTAAAGGCGAAGCTGATGGACGAATACCATCGTCGCCTGGAGCGCGGGGACATCAAGGCGAAGTCCGAGAAGGCCATGCGAACATCGGAGGGAAAGTCCAACAGCGGAAAGGATTCCCGCTTATGCCATCACTGCAAGAAGCCCGGCCATATTCGCCGGTATTGCAAGAAGCTGCTTGCCTCCAAGAAAGAAGATGAGTGCAGTTCAAAAAGTGAGCCGAAAAACGAAGGGGCCAAAGCCGCCCACAGTGACAGTCGGAGTGTTGCATTCACTGCCGGTGAGAAGTGTTCGTCGTGGGTCATCGATAGCGGGGCGAGTGCCCACATGACCAATGACAGGTCGTTTTTCGAGGAGCTGCGGGAAGTTCCCGGCGGCTGGATCACGGTGGCTGATGGCAAGAAGGTCCAGATTCAAGGCGAAGGAAGCGGAGTGCTGATAGGCGTCGATGCGGACAACAGAACCGTCCGGATTACGATGGCGGATGTCAAGTACGTTCCGGAGCTGTCGACCAGCCTGATTTCCGTCGGCAAGCTGGCGCAGAAGCAGCTGACGGTGTGCTTCGACGAAACGAGTTGCCGGATTGTTGATGCTGCGGGTGATGTTGTTGCTGTAGGTGGTCGCTGCGGAAGTCTGTACTATCTCCGGTGCGGAGAATCCTCATTGAAGGTGAGTGAAGGCCATCATCTGGTGAACTGCCAACACCAGTGGCATCGTCGGTTGGGCCACCGCGACTGGGCAGCCATCGAGCGCATCAACAAAGAGCAGCTGGCGAGTGGCGTCAAGGTGAGTGATTGCAATTTGAAATTAGTATGCGAGTGCTGCTTGGAGGGCAAATCTGCCCGTAGTCCCTTTCCTCCGGTGGTCGACCGGAAGTCGTCTGCCGTTTTGGATATCGTGCACACAGACTTGTGTGGCCCGATGAAGCACACGACGCCGAGTGGTAATCGGTACGTGATGCATATTGTGGACGACTACAGCAGATTTACCGTCACGTATCTGCTGCGATGCAAGAGCGAAGCTGCTCAGAACCTGAAGGATTATGTTCGCTGGACAGCGAATATTTTCGGCCGCAAACCGAAGGTTGTTCGTTCGGATGGCGGCGGCGAATTCGACAACGGAGAGCTTCGCAGGTTCTACAAGGAAGAAGGAATCAAACCGCAATTCACCACACCCTACTCGCCCCAGCAGAATGGAGTGGCCGAACGGAAGAACCGGTCGATTACCGAAATGGCCACATGTATGCTGCTGGATGCTGGGCTCGACAAGCGTTATTGGGGTGAGGCGGTGCTGACAGCGACCTACCTGCAGAACCGTCTGCCTTCCAGATCTGTACCCAAGACGCCGCACGAGCTTTGGTGGGGCCGCAAACCCGATTTGAGCCATCTGAGGGTGTTCGGTTCCCAAGCTTACGTGCATGTTCCGGACGTTAAGCGCAGCAAGATGGATAAGAAGGCAACGAAGTTGGTGTTCGTCGGCTATTCGCTCG